ACGTCTACTATTTTTATTATTAGGCCTATTATTATTATAATAGTATCCTTTCTCTCTTAAAGGTTTATTTATCGTTATTATTATTATATTATTATTTTCATAATTTCTCTTTGAAAGGTTTAGTTTTCTTTCTGTGTGATTATTAATAGCCTCGTATGTCATGATTGTCTTAATCATTTTTCGGAAACATGTTCATCAGTAGCTTAGTTATGTGTGCGTGTGATTATCACTTTATGGCAGTGTGCGTGCGTGCTTATCATTAACATAGGTTTGTGTGTGTGTTCATCACGAACATAGTTTTGTGTGTGTTTATCATTATCATACACATGTAGTTTTCTTGAAGTTTCCTCGATTTGCAATGTGAGAGATTTGAGTGCAGTCAAGCCTGCGTTAATAGTCACCGCTCCGTAGCGGTCAACTGTACTAACGGCCACTGTTTGATGACATCATTTTGTTTTTCCTATATTTATAACTTGTTCATAAGGGCCCCTGTCCTAACTCGACCGTGGTCGGTCATTTTCATAAGTCAGCCTCAAAACCTGCTCATAGCGGTCACGTGCAGCAAAAGTTTCCCTCCAACGATTCCTTAAACTACGAAATGTGTACGTTCAATCTGTGAAAAAGAAATTCTTTTGACAGATAACACTTTTGATGTAAATGAAATGGAAAGATAAATTAAGAATTCACAAATTCAGATTTTAAACCATCCGTTGAATTTTCAACAAAACTGTTGACTTTGCCAGGTCCAGTAACTTAGTAAGTGGCCACGAGTCAGACCCTGCCTATAGTGGCCACCTGTTGATGGCGGTCACTTCCTGCTATGACCTGGGGTGACCTTTTTTTGGACAGGTTTGACTTGTCAAGTCTAGTGACTGCGGGTCAGACCCTGTCCGTAGTGGCCACCTGTCGATGGCGGTCACTTCTCGCTGTGATCTGGGGTGACTTTGGGCAGGATTGACTGTATTTTCGTGTTCTCTGGGTATGTGCTGGCCATGAAGATATTTTTATCTCTGAGCTTGCTGTAGAAGTGGAAGGTTCGTGATGTGGGAGCAGGTCTGAGGAAATCAGGAATGTGTCTCCTGGCTGTCATTTTCAGTTTTTGCCTTTTTCTGGAAACGGGGATCTTTCAAGTTATTATGTACTTTGAATTTTTCTTTCAATGATATTTTCTAGAAGCTGAGATATTGCATTTTGAATTTACAAAATGTGAGGAAGTAAGAACTGAGAAAAATGTTTTCAAAGTTGCGCCATTTATTTCTTTACTTTTTAATATCTGAATGCGAATGGAAAATAAATTGAGAAAAATATTTTAAAGTGATTTTAACAAGAAGCGGCTTTTGAATTATTATAAAGTTATAAAGTAAAAGTTGTTCCCGCATCCGATCCGGACATTGCGGATTGCTTTGTTAGTGAGACTTTTCCTGAGACTATTCTGAAATGGTTGGGGAATCCCCTTAGTATGCATAACTCAAAATCGACCAGAATTGACCTCAACGACTATTTTTGCAAATTTTTCAGTTCGAGGTTTAGCGACAAGTTCCTGATTTCCACCGACCAGCTTTCTAAATGTTAGTTTTCAACTGTACAAGGTGGGAGACTGGTTCTGTCCTTAATTACGGTAGTGTAGAATTGATGGGAACTTGGTTGTAGACAGGTGGTGGAGCTTGTGTGTTAATGTGTGCATCATGTATGTGAAAATATATAATATGATGTGTGTGTGTGTGCCTGCGCATGCTTTTGTATGTAAGTATAACCAGTGTGTGGGTGTTTAGGCATATATGTATGTATGTATGTTAATATGTGTGTGTGCCTGCACATGCTTTTGTGTGTAAGTATAACACCTGTGTGTGTGTTAAGGCATATATGTATGAATGTTAATATGTGTGTGTGCCTGCACATGCTTTTGTGTGTAGTGTATAATGCTTTTGTGTGAATGTAATGTATTTATAATGCGATTGTGTGTATGTATAATCTTATACTAATAATGTGGTCGGGTTTATGACGAGGTGGTATTTGTGGAGATGCAATGTCAATGTGTGTGTGTTTTGTGTCTGTTTTTTAAAATCTGAATGCTGGCGTCACTACCGTTCAACATTGTGTGGGTTTTTTTTAAACCTGAATGCTGGCATCACTACCGTTCAACATTGTGTGGGTTTTTTAAAACCTGAATGCTGGCATCACTACCGTTCAACCTGCAATGACTAATGATGGCCATGAGCACGGTGTTACTTTCACGATGGATGAAATGAATGAAGAAATTAATATTTTCTCTCTTATTATGTGAATTCCTACATTTTTCTAGAAAGCAATACCTATATAAATATATATATATGATGTTCATGTCAATGTTGACAGCTGTCTAGTACAATCTCCTAGCCTTAGGTGTACATACTGTGATTTTTCTCTTCTTGTTGTAAGGTCAGACCTCGTTAGACTTTGAGCTGTTGAAGCTAGACAGGTGAGCAGAGTATGTCTGATTCCCTGTAAGGACTTCTCTGTTGACACCCCCACCCCTTGGCGCTCATATGACCTTATGCAGTTGCGAGCGCCGTAAAACCCTCTGCTAAAAAAAAAAAAATCCTCGTTGTAATACCCCCAGTCCCGCTATTCCGCCAATTTCGTGCTCGCTCGTCCTGAGGGTGGCGGTAGAATGAGGTTTGACTCGTTCAATTCTTATTAATTATAAATTAATGGGCTTCTGCTGTGAGTTGAGAAGAAGGCTTGAGTGTTTTGCTTGTTATCTTCTCTGTCAGTGGCTGGGGTTTGGTGTGAGCGGCTCTGTTCTCTTGTTGCCTATGGTCTAGTGCCTGTTGCTATCATGTGTAAATATATGTATCATGTATATCCTTGTATAGTTTGCCACTTCGAATACAGCATTAGCTGAGCTGAGATCATGCAAAATTACGTGTACAATTTTATCTTTTTTTCCTGAAACTGAAACTAGCGTCTTTGGTGTTGTGATTAGCCACTCTGCCATGGCACAGGGGAGACCCGGGGTAGAAGTCCGTGCGGGGAGAATTTTAGTAGAATATCTCGGTCTTTCTGCGGGGATGTTGTATCCCTCTCTGCCTGGATTGGCCCTGACAAGCAGGGTCAAATCCCGCTTCTTGAATGATGTAAATTGTGTTGATAGAGGTGTTAAAAAAAAACTACGTTTTAAAAAAAAGATAGCCTAGTTGTTAGAACACAAACATGTAATTAAAAGATGCCAGTTTGCCAGTTTCCCAATCATTTTCCTGCCCTGTCAGTTTATTTCCCGACTTTCTGATTTTAAAAAAAATCGAGTCTCTGTGAAATTTCGAGTGAATTGGAACTTCCGGTAAAGTGGACGGTCTTTCTTTTAGTGGAAAATGTTAATGCTTTGAATTATTATTATTGTCATTATAATTAATAATATATTTTAAAAATTATTATTATCATTATCATCATATCAGA